GGTCGAGTGTCACCACTCGCCACAAACTCTACCCTGCAGCGTTGCTTTGTTTATTCATTATAGAGGTTTTGATTCGTTCATTTCGTCTATAGTTGCCTAGCTGTGAGTGTAGGGTTGGTGTGCGTCTTAGGTTGTTGCGTGTTGTAATGAGACGCGAGATGTCAGGCGTGACATTAGAGTTGTAATTTTTCCTAATGCATTTGGGGACACCTATCTTGTATGCCTCGGTGATGATGGTGTTAAAGTGGGTGAGGGTATAATCAAGTTTGGTGATGGGTTGTGTGTTCAGCCCCCGGAAGTGAGCATTCGTTTCCCTGATGAAGTCGTCACAGGAGCTTTTCTTGTATTTGTGAATGGTTTGTGAAGTGTGCAAGTAAGTGTCTTTGGTGGAAAACAGTGTGGTCATACTGGGTAAGTGGTTGGATGAGAGATCCGTTTCCAATCTCCTGGAAATCCTGTGTGAGAGTGATGGAGAGCAGAATGGTAGGGGAGGTAGGGGAGGTAGGTCCACATATAGAGCTTGATGTGGTATGTTAGTGGGAGTGAGTGTATTGTTAATTTAGGATGAAGAGCTGGTCTTAGTTGGTTGCAGATCTCCACCCCTCGAGCAGTGGTGTCTTGTGAGTTATAGCTACCAGTCTGGATGCTTTGCGTTGAAGTCACCTACAAGCATCAGGTCTGGTAGTGTGTTTAATGATTGAATTATAGGATCGTAGTGGGCCGGTAGACCCGGTGAGTGTTCTGGTGGAAAGTACATGTTCATGAGGATAATGTGTTTTTTGCCTGGATATGAAATGACTGTAGTTATGTGTGCCTTGTCTACTTGTGTTAGGGTTCTGATGTGCTGAGTTTTCTCCAAGTAGGTTGCATTATGGTGGATATGTGATTAATCCACCACCTTCCTCGTGTTGCCTATCCTGTCTGATGGCAGTGTAGTTTGGGAAGGATATGGTGTCGTGTGCGATAGCCTGAGGCTTGTCTCTAGTATGATGGCGACGTGAATTTTTTGGAGTGCATGTATTGTTTGAGTTTAACGTGTGCTGGCTTGTGGTCGAGCGGAAGAGCCGGGGGGCGCACTGGCGATTGGGGGACCGGCGTACGCGGGTGAATTTGCGGCACGAATATGTTGGCCAATAGAAGGCACAACGAGCAGAATTAGTCGCTGGTATTATGCCTAAGGGTTGGAAGCGAGGTGCACTTGAGGTGGAACCAGCGCCTGCAATTGTTGCACAAGACAGATCCCCCACCCACGCGATAAGATGTTATACGCGTGGTGCAGATGTGGCACAAGGTGATAGTGCCCGGGTTTCGCATGATGTCACCACCGAGCTGGAGGAAAAGGTACAGGGGCCTGGCAGCCGGGCTCCAAGTCCTCCATAAGAAAAAAACGTTGGTCCAAGCCAAACGGGTAGCGCCTCTCAGGACAAAACACTGTAGAGCCATCTCCCCACGGCTCCCCAGTGAGGTTGAGGTGGGGGCAATTTGTCCCTCCCAGAGGGGTGTTGCCATGACGTAGACGCCCCCCCCCCAATAGCGAGTATCAGTAGGTGTAGGCAAGTATGGCTGACATTTCATGACTCAGAGAATATATTAAAATTTCAATATTATTAAAAATTTATCAATATACAAATTACTTTCATGATTTTCTAAACTGGAGCATTTCTCATTCATCCTAAACACTAAACAGAATATAAAGACTCTGCATATTTCAATCACATATGATGTGAATTTTTCAATTGAAATTTAAAAATCCATATTTAAGATTCTTTGTAATCTTCTTGAAGAGCAGGATTTGAAGATTGGATTTTTCGATATCCAAGGTGACCAAATGTTTACTGAGGAAATTATCTCGACCATTGAGACACCTAGCCTCAAGACTAATGCAATAAAATATATATGGCCGTAGAAGACAAATGTAATTAAATATTCTAGGTTCAGGGTATAAAATAATTCAAGGCCCAGCTAGAATTTTTGTTCATGTTTGATCGACGCTCAATAAATTCTATAGTTCATTATGAAATAAATTTGTTTAAAAAATTATTCCTATACAATTGGTCTAACAATATATGAGTGATAGATTCGGTATCATACAAGCAGTAGTGCACGACTAATCGCTAAAAAATTCTAATAATTTCATCTGTAAGGCAGTAAGATAACTTATGAACTTAAGAAAACTTAAGATCTTTGAGAATAATTTACAAAAAAATTAAGCCTTAGAAAAATAAAGCCTCATGACATCCATTAATTTGTCCATCCGATTGTTGAGTCACCAATTGAGAGGCTTTAGTTGGGAAATCTCTAATCATTGATAATCTTCCTAACTCCAATCATCGATAAGCTAACATACGCCGATTTTACTCAGCAAAACAGAAAAAACGTAAACTCTATAAAGTGAAACTCATATTCATGATATTGTAACGTTTTCTTGTGGTGTATCTAAGCCGTCTTTACGTGCCGTCTTTGTATAGCATTGTTTGGGCCGCTCGATGCCGAAGCTTGTTCTGACATTTGCCTTCAACGTCCTTTAAAAATGCCTGGGTAACCTTCGACACGAATGTTAAATGAAGCTCCGAGTACCGACCACTGCCAGCAAGTTATTGATTGGCTATTGAGCGGACAAGTTCTCGAATTTTACGCTGAACTGTACCATTCCTGAAGCTAGCTCGGCAATTCGATCCCATAGAAATATTATACAGTTAGGGTATTCACATTATGATCTTCATGCTAAAACAGGCTATAAGTACCAACAATACATACGTTATTTACCGTAATGAAGATGTATAGGGCCACATTCTTGCTTCTTGAAACCTTGATCTAATATCACAAAAGTTGCATAATTGAAATCAAACCATCGCACTCAGATTAAATGAAGCCATTACAGATTGTTTTCTAGAAACTAGTACCAGCGTTTTCAGTTGCAATGGGAACGTTCAGATTTATATGATGAAATTTACTTTCAATTGCTACGATTCAACATTTCATTTTCAGATTTAGAACCCGGAGGCAAATTTTTAAGCCATAATTTAATTTGCAGTACAGGTTTAAAATTCGCATATTCATTTAAGTTCACACCAGCATTTCCAATAGCAATAATATATAGTGTTTTTTCCAATACTCCAACAGTTTTGAGATAAATGTAATGCTTATTTCGTTTACAAAATGCACATAATTTCCTAATTGTAGCTTGTTTTTTCCGATCCTCAGGTCACGATCATCAGCGACTTCTAGGGGAGACCAATTACCGATGAACAAACTTATTTTAAAAACTTGGACAACTTTATGAAGTTTTGACCGCGTACGACTTTCCTCCGACCTAACTTGTTATTACATAAAATTTCAAGACTTTTAATTCAATATTTGGAAGGAGTTGGGATCTTCTATATTCCTGTACATATGAAGCAGCCGAGTGCGAATGGCGCCTGTTATTTTGGGGTTTAATTCATTGCCCAGAAACCTCCCGGAATTTTTTTAACAGCGGTCACAAATCTTATACGATATTTAACTGAGATATTTTTTGTAGGAGGATGAATCCCGAGAGCTTTACAAATATTCATCTAGTAATACTTAGGGCAAAAAGAGGGCAATATTACAAACAAGCTTATGAGAATAAAACTTGCCCATGTCTTCCACCAAAATATCAGTAAAGTTTTCGGCCGTCAAAATGGAACCTTCACACATGAAAGAAACACTGTAATTACTGAAAAGTACGAGCAGACTTTTTTATACATCACACCATAAATTCGAATGATTTCAAGACCGAGTTTTCAATTGCAGACACCGAGTAATTTTCTGTGTAATTTGATTTTTGTTTTGAATTAAATTATTGGAGCAGTTATGAGTCATTGGCAAGCAATTGAAGGTCGCTCTTAATAAAACAACGCAATCAATTTATTTATATCTTTTGATGACTAATTTACCAGTTTAGCGTAGTTAATTTTTCATTAATATTTTAATGCCGTAACTATTAACTTCAGGTAATCTAATTTGCATTATTTAAGAAAAAATCGTCCTCTATTAGCACAGGTACTGGAATATGATTTTAAAATGGTACATATAAATTTTTAGAGTAATAATTTTTACATTTGAAACAGGATGTAATTGATCGCATCCAATCGTATTTCCATGCCATTTTCCTAGATTCTTTTGGTTTCCTGTTATTGCCGTTTCAATTAATATACAAAATAATTTTCATGGCGCAGTTTTCTTTAACACAAAATGTGCTTAAAATATTCGGTTACACGAGTAACATCCTGCTCTAAAAATTATGTCTGACCTCTCTCATATTTCACATTGAGGTCTAACAAGCTCTCATTTTATCAAGCCCTTTTTAGTCTGACCAAATTTTGGGGTTGAAATGTTCTGAGCTTCTCTCCCTCCACAACCTTTACTCTGAATTGAATAATACTGAAACAAATGTAGTCCTTAATTCTAATTTTCTTGGAAGTTTTTTCTTGTAATTTGACTAACGATGAACATACAGACCAGTTAGAAGAGTTTTAGACCTCGCAATGATTTTGATTAGCATTTCTGACTTAAAAACAATTACTTTCAAGTTACAGAAATTCCTACCATTTATTTGTGGTATCCAAATCGAGCGTGCAAAGTAGAAGAAGAAATGGAACTGTTTACACAACTACGTCATCGACATGAGTAAATGAAATACCTTGTAACATTTAAAATAATCTTATATCATCATTATCTATCGATCAAAGAGGCCGTAAACTGAAAAGTATCCAGACATTTCCGGAGCTACCAGCACGAGACAATTAAAAATTCAAAATCCATCAGTGAGACCCCGGAACTGACAGACGACAATCTAGATGTCCTTGCACTGACCTGTGTAACACTCTCTATCAGCGAAAAAGTTTACTACCTAGAGACCTGCGAATCAAATCGTGACAGTATTCATGGACTCTAGAGGCCTTCAGAGCAAGTTGTGACTGCCTCTAGAGAGGATACAAGACTCGTGGCCAGAATCCTAGAAAGAAGCTGCGGCGGCGATGGTGCGGCTTGTGATGCTGGCCGTTGGGGCGGTGTTGACGCTCGCGCTCTTCATGGGCTTCTTGCTGAGCAGCTTCGTCGTGGCCGTGATCGTCACGAGTCGGCAGGTCAGATTAATTATAATTATCAATAATAAATTAGTTTTAAGATGTGGAAATAACACTTGTCTAGATAAAGTTTTATGAACTTTTTTTATGTGATAAATTAAGGTCAGTTACAGAATGATTGGAGAACTCGTTAGGTTTTTGTTATTTCCGTTTACTAGACCACTACCATATTCAACAAGACATTCTTTATTTTTACTGACAATAAGTGTTTCGGAACATGCTTTATTCACAACTCCCGACAAATATATACAACCCCAGATTTCGTCATACTACGGAAATAGGAAGCTGGAAGATCAAAGATACTCTTATCTTCCCAGACTTGCTTTAGGTTTATGAGTCGTCGGGAAAAATTATTCGCCTAAACTTTGCGCGCCTATCGGAGAATTTTCATAAAAAAATTTATTTTGATTTCTTTTCAATGACATTTTTCAGGTTACAAAATCTCAACACTACTATTAACTATAAATTTATAGGTTCTCTGTTGCCAAAATGATCTTTCCACAATAATGTTTACTGTTCATACAATTGGAAAAATAAATTTTTTATTTATGCAGGACGGAAGAGTTTCGAAAGAAAAATCACATTCCTCAAGTAAATATTTACAGCTTAATTTTGAAAACTGAATACCACATATTTTTACCTACAAAAATGACAAGGCTGGAAAAATTATGTTTTAATGCTGGAGAAAAATAATTCGGGTTTGTATCCTTTATTCTAACTGCACGGAAAAACGAACGAAAATGTTGTAGAGGTTTTGTTGCTTAAGTTACATTAATTAATTTATTTATATATTTCTGAAAAACTGTTCATCATAATATCATTCGTCTACCTGCAAGTTATGTTGAGCAAACATTTTTCGTCGACAGACAATCGTACGTTTAATATTGATTTAGTAACCTTTCAAACCATTTAAGTATTATATAATTATTATATATCGGATTATTTAAATCAAGGTTAAACGATACCAAAATGTTAATGTTTCTAATATTCTCTCTGAATTCCAAGATTTATTCGCAAGTATGAAATGAATACTGTGACTTATCCTATGACATGACAATCAGTGAGGATGAACCTACTAACACAATTCTTTATAATATTTTAGTCTGTGGAACTGATCAATGAAATCGACGTATGCGCTCATGTTTAAAATTAACATTATATTTTACACACTTTATATGTATGCAACGAATGGACCGCACTCTCAGGAGCTTTAACATGCAAACAACAAGTACTCAGGAACTACCTTAATTAGTTTCGTGACACAGAGGCAGCCGTATCATCTGATGGCTTATCTCCAGACTTTGATGATACGAATTTAAACCATTTTTTCTTCTGAAAAAAACTGGAATTATTCGTTTCTACATTATTATTAATAAATACAATTCTCAAAACTCGTTGGATGAAAAAAGTTTTTCATGTTAAATTCATCCGAATGAACACATTGTACGATCCTCATCACAAACATGTCACTTCTAAAATAGTACAGGCAAACTCACACGTGCTCTGGATAACTTCTTCGTAGAATTATCGATAAACTTGTTTTTCTTAAGACCGTTTTGGTCATTTTAACCGAAACTAAAATGCACTCCTAAGCAGTTAAATAACTATTTTTTAAACTAAAGTGAGAGTATTTTCGTTTTTTAACTCATTATGCAAATTAACTTCGTTACACGCAGCGTTCCGCTGACGAATACGAGGAAACAAAACTCAAGTGAATTTTAATGATCGCTAAATAACTTTGCTGGTGAGAAAATACGCATAATGAACCGGACATGAAGTTCACGTGTCATCTAAAGTTCTGGCAAAGCTCGAAGAAAAGTTGGGACCTGCTATGAAAATAATTCAGCCAGTAATTAGCGGCGTGATTGGATCCTTGGCACCTCTTTAAATTTTTAAACAGAGTCAGTTTTTCTCAAACTGAAATTTAAAAACTATCATTAAAAGTAGCTTCTTTCGTGCTATCACATTATATGAATGGCGCAATAATACTTGGGAAGTTTGAAGTATAAGCAATGTCGTCGGCATTGCGGAAAGAGTCTGGAATTTTGTTACTTTAGAGTTCCTGAAAACGAGACATATTAATGAATTAATCAGTTACAGCACTAAATAAATAATTTCATCTTTTTTTATCATACAACAGAAATAAACTTATAAATAAAATTCATTAGGAGAAAAACTGTAGTCCTAGCTATCGAAATATCCAATTAAGCCATGACTTCCACTGGTACATTTTTTATATCTGCCTGTGAACACGCAGCACTGTGACAAATTGTTTTCGAAGTCGCATCTTCTTCGCACCACATCATTAGCACATCATTATAATTTTTTGTGATATATTTTTATCGGTTCTACATAGAAGATAGAAGATCGCTTCTATTGATGATTGCCTTGCTTCCCTCAGTCCAAGAGTGCTGGCAACCTCATGATCCTGCAGCTGGGGGCTACAGACCTGATGCTCTCGTTACTGGGTCTAGCGCTGTCGTCCCCGTCGCTACTTCAGGTAAAACATCGTCTTCTCCGTACACGTTTAGCCTTTAGATTAGAAGCTAAAATTCCTCCAGGCAACGCGTGCATCTAAAATTGACACAATCAATCTAGCGCTGTTTCGTTCTGCTTTGAAAATAAAACATAGCTTACCTATGATCCCTACGAATCCTAATCGCGATCAAGATTTTGCTGGACTAAATGAGACTTTTCCGGTTTTTATGATGAGCTTGCAAATAAATTGTTACAAAATTTGTATATGTTCTGCGTTTAGCACAACATAATTTGTATATTCATTTCCAAAATCTGAAGGACATTTAGAACCAATGTTTAATGACTTTAGTTCTTGAGTAATTTCAGTGTTTCACCTTACATTTTTCACCGAGTGAAATTATGGAAATAATTTTCAAGCATCAAGTGGAATAGTTCGACGAAAGTGTACGGGCACTCACTAACATTTCTTTAAAATATTGAAGATATTTTTTAAACCATGCCCTTTTTCTATTCATAACACAGTGTCACTAATTATCGCTAATTACTGCAGCTGAACGCTGAAATTTCTTGTGTATGTACGTCATATGCCAGCTAATTATAAATTGCAAAGTGCAAACGAGCATTAGAGCTTAGGGCTTTCATTTGAAATTGTTTCAGATAAGTGAATCGTTTGCAAGCACAACAAAATTTTATAATTTTGTCTGTGTACATAAAAAATATCATCAAGAATGTTGAATGCGCAATTCTGATTGAATAAATGCAAAACAGTCATGATAAAAACATATCCATTTCGAAACTGAACTGGTCCTTGAAATTAGCCGCGATATAGAGTCTCATTCTGAGTCTTCATTGAATTAAAATTGTAGAGCAATTTGCACTTTTTATTCAAACGTTGGTCCTTATCAAAGAGAAAATTCGACAGAAAATTTTTTCAACTTATTTTAAAGATATTCGAATCATTAGGAATTCGCCACTACAGAGCGAGACCACTGAATATAATAAGTATTTCATTGATATAATTATTTAGAATAATTATTCAACTATGAAGGATATGAAACAATATGTACTTATTACAATAGCAAAAATGTTGATAATAGCTTAAAAATTATTTATTAATAATTAAATTTCAGAGCCGCATTAGTACTTAATATCAAGTTTACAAGTAATATTTACTTTTTGATGAAAAAATAGTTGCCTTAACAAATTATTTGAATTAAACACATTCCCAACATCGGTTGCATTTGTTCTTACTTCTATCTTGTAATAACATAATAGAAAGTAACCGTAACACCTTTGCAGAAGTCTATTATTTTAACATGTAATAATCATGCTCGTTTAACAAAATTAATAAAATAAAACATACATCCAGGTATCATTTACGAATATGACGCCTTATTTTTTGTATTTTTAAGTAAAGTAAATATATGGTGTATATATGAGTAAAGAAATATGTGCAATAACATGTGGTCACACAAAATTTATTCGATTCATTTATGACCATTTCGAACAGTGACTTTTTCGATCAATTTTTATTTGTATAAAAAGGTACATTTCTCCCGAAACATGCTCATTGGTATATTTTTTCATACAAAACACTAAAATTATTTTAATTTCGAAACTACACTTACTACACAACTACACACTGCACAAACATTCATAATTACACTTTCATACTTGTCTTTGTTCTGCTCCACTGATCCGACACGCTTCCAATCGGAGATCACAAGCCATTGAGAAGTCTCTGCATATTTAAATAGTTTTGATTTCTGTCAATTTTAAAATTAAACCTTAATTATTGCCTGCAGGGACGGTGGCTCATATCAGACGAGGGAGACCACCCCAACATGGTTGGCACTGAAGCATCTATAAAAGAGAATTTTTCATCCAGCATCATCAACTCCACCACTAAATCAACAACAGATGTTAGCATAAGCACAGACGGCCAACCTTCAGGAAATTATTATTCGTCATTATTAACGGTTGCGAAGTTTGAAGCAACAACAACCAAAGTATTGAAATTTAGCCATGAAGACTCAACCGTATTTTCGATTTTAAGAGACGATGAAAGAAGTACAGAAAATTCACTCATGAACCCAGAATATGACACTCATTCTTCGTCATTGAAAGACAATGATTCATCTAGCGAAGTCTTCGTGATGAACTACAACACTTCTTTCTTCCCAATGATGACTTACCACGAAACTTCAACTAACCATGCCGGGAAAGACGGTGTAACGTCAATTTATTCATACACGACAGACTCGACTATTAAAGTTGATGAAACTTCGGTTGAAATCGAACACGAGTATTCTCCTTCGAGAGATTCTTCCTCAAGTTCTTCGTTAGGACTCGATTATTCATCATCAAATCCCAGGTTGAATTATGATACCATACCCAAAAGTGACAATAATGTGGATGCTAATTATAACTTTCATGATTCAACAGAAATTCCTTTCACAAGTGAAGACTCTTCATTCCATTTCTCGAAATTTGCTGACTCATTGGTTGTTGAAAATGCAACTTACACATTTTCTAGAGTTTCTGTTCCGGACAGAGACGATTCAAGTACGAAAAAAGGCATCTCGGTCACTCAGCCAATTGTTGTGTCTCGACGTATCTATTCAAATGTCCCATCAGAGGCAGTGCTTGCGGTTTCAAATCTCATCACTCAATCTAAAGTGCACCATGTTAGTAATAGCCAAGCAGATAGTAGTAAGGAATCACCTGGAGATTTTATTTCCTATTCTCGTGAAGGAAAGCAGCCAAGAGAAAACTATGTATCAAGTTCCCAATTGTTACTTTCAAATTCTAAAGATGATGGAATAATTTGTCGCCTGTACGGCGGCATTCTATCTCTATTGAACTTAGTGAGCGTGTGGATAGTGGTAGGACTTCACTGCGACAAATACTGTGCCATAGCCTCACCTCTGAGGTACAACCAAATAGTTACGAGAAAAAGAATAGCTATTTTCTCGCTACTCGTTTGGACGTTGTCAGTAGCAGTGTCCATTGCAATAATGGTCGTAGCACCGCGCTTCAAATATCTTGGAGGTGTTTGCCTTCCTGTCTTCAGTGACGCTGGGAAAATAATTTACACGTCGTGTCTTCTTGTAGTGCTCATCTTGTCTCCCGCGGCCATATTTATATTAGTAAATGGCAAGATCCTCTTCATCGCTCGTCAACATCAGCATCGGATCTTCTCAGCAATTTTCGAAGTGATGATGTCGGCTCAGGCTACGGTCACGCAACAAAGGAACCCGTTCGATATGCCCAAGATGAAACAAAAGTCAGCATGGGCAATATGCGAGCAGCTGATTGGCTTTGCTGTGTGTTACTGCCCTGTTGTGCTTTTCCTGTTCCTTGAATGTGCTGTTCGTTATCCGCTGAACAACTTCCTCTCTGTGGTCATGGTAGGTTCTCTGTTGCTTGCACCGTTAGTAAATAGCTTCATGTATGGCATAAAAAGCGCAACCATAAAGAAAATACTAAAAAATTATCTGAGGAAAAAGATTTCTCGAACAGCCATGAAATGTGAAATTCAGGCAAGGATTCCATCTGCTCAAAATTCTAGAAGACCGTCCATTTCGTCCACTCTGGGGTTTCCAGCCATCCACAGGTCACTGCACAGGCGCATGTCAGATTACCTGGGCCCAGAACATTTTCCTGACAACGAGCCGCGCGAGCTGGTGCGGAGGTCGTCAGAGTTATCATGGCATCCTCTGGAAGAGGGAACTCCGACACCTTCGCGGCTTCGGCAACCTCTGGACTTGGACATTCCACGGGACTGGAACACTTCGCACATAACAAGTGCGTCTCAGTACCTTGCTGTTCCTTCGTACGAGGCAGCTCGAAGTCAAACCAACAACCTTCGGTCGACATCGTCGTCTGAATCTATAGGGACTTTCAGTACTAAAGATCCCGTGACTGAAGATGAGTTTATCGTAACCTCCGCTGACATATCACCGGCTTTTCAGAATAAAGTTTCAACTAGGAAAGAAGCAGAAGCTATCCGTCCACTTTGTCCGTTTACCGACTACAATTCTTTATGTCCAAATGGTAATGTCCACCATGTTCTTTCTGTCTCAATGCCATTGTATCGTAAAGGGTCTTCTGCACTTTCATCCATTGTATCAGAGGATCCACCATTGGACACACCTTCCACCCCGCTGCTCTGCCAAGCATACATGACTCCTTGGCCCAAGACGGACGTGTCACGTTCAAATTCCCCCTATATTTTGAGGACTTTAGAGTCCCTCGTGTCAGTAGGATTAGCTCAGTCCCGTCTCACAAAATCCACTTCTTTTTGGAGAGGTTTTAGTTTTGAAAAAGAATCAGACCGTAACATTAATAACAGCTTAAATTCACTAGAGCGAGACAAAAATATGGAACTAAAAGATAAATATTGCTACGGAGCAATGATTGCTGACACTGTTGTATCTTTTCCTGAAGAGGAAACAAAATTAACCGTAGAAGATTCATCTTCTGTAATTACTTAACATTTACCGAAAAGCTTAACTGGGGGTCAATTAAAAATGTATGATATTTTGTTACCTTCTTAAGTCAACGCTTGAGGCAATTTTTTCATGGAAGGTAATACTTTGTGCAGCACATACCAGGAATTAAATAACTATTAATTATACAGAATTCCTCCAAGACTCTACATATGTTGAAAGTTATGAAATTATTATGTCTGAAATTAGTTTGTTCAGATTTAGAGCAAGTTTAATTGGAAGATATTATAGGTAATAGAAATATCTAATAAGGAAAACAATGCTTAAACCAGCTCTTCCCGATTAAATTTAAGCAAATAAAATTAGAATTAAGAGAGATGTTAAGTTTTGAATTTATTTTCGAAATGAGAGTCGGTTTGTGATTGCGATTTTCAAGGAAGATTAGGATTACTTATTCGCCGCAACCCAGTAATAGTTTAGAGCAAGATTCAAATATACAAAGTCACCGTAACGTAGCATATTCTGGATTAATCTTAGTAAAGCGTTCAATAATCGGTTATTTATTTCCAATTCAAACTTAAAAGTTAATCATCCTACCAGATCTATGGCAATTATCATCATACAGCATGACGAAAAACTTCAGCAATGACACTCTTTGGTACACGTTAGCGTTTCATAACAATTTTTCTGATAACAAGCAGAGAGATAAGAATTGATGGAATTGAATTTTGAGATGACGGGAGGAAGATGAATTATTTCAGCATGATTAGAATTGCAAGCGTTTCAGAAAACAATCTTCAAAATTTTCATTGGTCTTACCAGTCAGAAGTTATGCAGTTAAAAAAATGCTGAACATGAAGTTCATTTATAGTATCGTGTTTTTATAGAGAAGATTATTATTGCTTTAGTCAGCTTCATAAATTAAATATTATTATAATATCACAACTTGTAAAAAACAATTTTAATGCGAAATCAAACATGAATCACATTTCAACGTTGCAGCAAAAAACTTTTCCAACTTCTGACTTCGTTCTGTAGTACAAAAGTTGGTGCATTTGAATTTAGGGCCTGTCGATCGATCAAATTTTGTGGAAAAATCAACTTTGTTTATTGATAAAGATGCACATCAACCGAGTATGTAGGAAAACATTCATTATACTGATAAGCTAGTAAGCAAATTACTGTCGCAGTGTGGCTGTTGCTGTGAATTTCTATGGCTTAGCAAAGAGATACTTGAGCGAAACACTGTCAATGATGTGATAAGTAGAGTAGTGAGAGTGAATATATTCATTAAATGGAGTAAAACATTTACGACCTAATTCTCAGTTTTAATATCCTTTATTTGGGTACAAGAATTCTCTTTCCGTAATGCAGATTGAAATAAACAATCGTGATTTTGTAGAAATATGCCAGTGATGGAAAATTTATTTACGTGGCAAGAAACAAACCCATTTTTCATGGAAGATAATACTTTGTGCAGCACATACCAGGAATTAAATAACTATTAATTATACAGAATTCCTCCAAGACTCTACATATGTTGAAAGTTATGAAATTATTATGTCTGAAATTAGTTTGTTCAGATTTAGAGCAAGTTTAATTGGAAGATATTATAGGTAATAGAAATATCTAATAAGGAAAACAATGCTTAAACCAGCTCTTCCCGATTAAATTTAAGCAAATAAAATTAGAATTAAGAGAGATGTTAAGTTTTGAATTTATTTTCGAAATGAGAGTCGGTTTGTGATTGCGATTTTCAAGGAAGATTAGGATTACTTATTCGCCGCAACCCAGTAATAGTTTAGAGCAAGATTCAAATATACAAAGTCACCGTAACGTAGCATATTCTGGATTAATCTTAGTAAAGCGTTCAATAATCGGTTATTTATTTCCAATTCAAACTTAAAAGTTAATCATCCTACCAGATCTATGGCAATTATCATCATACAGCATGACGAAAAACTTCAGCAATGACACTCTTTGGTACACGTTAGCGTTTCATAACAATTTTTCTTATAACAAGCAGAGAGATAAGAATTGATGGAAGTTGAATTTCGAGATGACGGGAGGAAGATGAATTATTTCAGCATGATTAGAATTGCAAGCGTTTCAGAAAACAATCTTCAAAATTTTCATTGTTCTTACCAGTCAGAAGTTATGCAGTTAAAAAAATGCTGAACATGAAGTTCATTTATAGTATCGTGTTTTTATAGAGAAGATTATTATTGCTTTAGTCAGCTTCATAAATTAAATATTATTATAATATCACAACTTGTAAAAAACAATTTTAATGCGAAATCAAACATGAATCACATTTCAACGTTGCAGCAAAAAACGTTTCCAACTTCTGACTTCGTTCTGTAGTACAAAAGTTGGTGCATTTGAATTTAGGGCCTGTCGATCGATCAAATTTTGTGGAAAAATCAACTTTGTTTATTGATAAAGATGCACATCAACCGAGTATGTAGGAAAACATTCATTATACTGATAAGCTAGTAAGCAAATTACTGTCGCAGTGTGGCTGTTGCTGTGAATTTCTATGGCTTAGCAAAGAGATACTTGAGCGAAACACTGTCAATGATGTGATAAGTAGAGTAGTGAGAGTGAATATATTCATTAAATGGAGTAAAACATTTACGACCTAATTCTCAGTTTTAATATCCTTTATTTGAGTACAAGAATTCTCTTTCCGTAATGCAGATTGAAATAAACAATCGTGATTTTGTAGAAATATGCCAGTGATGGAAAATTTATTTACGTGGCAAGAAACAAACCCATTACTAATTAAGAAAAATAAATTTTTACCAAGAAAAGAAGGCCAAGGGCACAAAATTGAATGAGGCTGTGAAAATCGCGTGAAAAATGTATGAGGTAATATTTTTTTACGCGATTACACAAAAAAACTATTTCAGCGCCCGCTTAAAAATCATATCGCAGTCAATTAATCTATACATCACTTATGAATGATTTCCATGTGTATTTGCAGATTTAAACCAGGTTTAATTTGGCCTAGAAATAACACAGGTCCATATGATAAAAAATCGGTCATTAAAATTTTCTAATAAAAAAATGAATATCCTTCCACGAAGGTGATTGGGCAAAGAAACGTCAAGAATTGGCACCCCTATCGAAATTTGTCAAGTCATCTACGGTGATTGAATATAATTAAATGCAAATGAGATTGATTAAATTTCATTGCGATAATTTCATTGCGCTTATTTATATTTCACTTATCGTAGTATGCATTTAATACATTAAAGTGAAAAGTTACAGTTCTCGTTTCACGTTTCATCGAAATTCGTTTCTTTCAACGATTTCAAAAGACAATGAACGGTAAAAACTATAGAACACACAAAATAAGATTTTTTGCGAGTTCTCGAGCATCTGATATCAATGAAACAATTGAACTTCCCACGTAACATTGTTCGAGATAGATCAATGTTAAGTAAAGAATTAATTTCAAAAGTAGGTATGGATAGAATTGAACCTCTTGTAGAATTATGTTTCAAATAATTAAACGTTAAATATCGAACAATAGTATGAGGGTAGCTTCATGGATATTCCCATCTCATTTATTTCTTTAACCCGTCGGTCCTGAAAAGTTCTTAATTCTGGCGACGACGCAGACAAAGAAAACCGGCAGGTTATTACGAATAGGCGAGGTGAATGTTACTTCTCGTGTGACGTGCGTCAGGTTCGAAGTGTTGCACTAGTTTTACCATACGAAGAAAGCCATGAAGCTACGCTCAGGAACCATATTTATTTTATTCTGCATGCCTAATATAATAGAAAGACACGTACAGCCTAGCCATTCTCCCCGACCATAGTGTTGAAAGTGGAACAAGTTAACAACCGACACTGCTGAGAGAACTTCAGGCATTAACTGCATGCATTCCCGTTGCAATCAAAGTAATCGTGTAATGTGAAATGCTACGTCTAATAAATATACTTCCTTTACATTCAAAAGATTTGAATTTTCTGTTAACGTCAATAGTGCAATGCTTCTCACTGCTGCCTGGTAGTATTCGGCAAGATGTTAATATCTTGCCCAATGCAAAGATATTGCACTCGTCGTAGGTCTCAAGAAATTTATTGGTAGATTTTATTTAATCGATCATCTAATTTCTGTTATTTCTAGAGGGAAGATTTGCAATACGTCAGCTCTTCACAAAGATACGTTAACGGTTTTTGCAATATCAGTAGTCGCCAGTTGAATTGCATTAGTTTTGATATAGAGTTGAGTCGTAATGAAGTCACTGTATTTGTTTACACTTTTACATGGAATTTTCATCATCGCGGTGATGGAGAAAAGTTTCGCCACTGCATTGAAGAAATCAACCAATAGCTCCAAGATTTTGCGGAGAAGCCGACCATTTATCAGTAAGTACCTACTAGTTGATAGGCCTACACAGATATTAAATATTCTTAGTCATCCAATGTTAGATTTAGATTTTCCATAGTATACCATACATTCATATTTTATTTTGTTGTCACTGTCGTCGGGAACGCGGCAATTTTACATGCCCAACGTCTATGCCACTTAAGTCACCACCATACTTAGGTCGCCACCCTCCTAAATAAACTATCAATTTCAAAATAAGAATTAAACCAAAGCTCCCTAGTGAAATCCTAACGAAGTATGACTTATCTATGTTTATTGAGTATTATGATCCGTATCGTGGCTATTTTTATACGGTTTTTGCTGGTGAGCGGCGAGTTCAGTGCAGTATTAGCGAAGTTGTAACTCATGAGCCAATGCCACGTTTCGCTAAAGTTTCTGCGGAAGATGCAGCGTCTCCGTGTGGCGCGACTGGTAGACGACAGTGCGTCAAACCTGATGGTGCCGACAACGAGCTGCACTGCATCACGAAGGAGCAGGAGTGCGATGGAACAGTTCATTGTCGCGACGCACAGGACGAGTTGAACTGTACCTGCACGAGTCGGATCAAGCCTGAATTCAAGTGTGATCTGTATGACGACTGTCCCGATGGCGAAGACGAGAAAGGCTGTGGAAGTGAGTGGGGGTTTACCTTCGTATTAATCATATAGAAACGTTATGATTTTCTTCTTAGGTTCTGGCTTCCACCTCTCTGGATCCCTGATGAATCGCATAGCATTTACTATTTTCGCAGGCGGAAATTATGTACGCGAGTAAAGTTCCCCGCTAAGCAGTTATCGTGATCTAGTAAGCCCCAATGCTTTTTCAAAATTCTTAAATGGTCCTAATAACGTCTACTAACGTCAGCGTTCACCAATCGTTTTCATATTCTATTGCAGTGCTATCACGTCCGGAATTTGAATTTATTTATTTTCTTCATCCTTAGACTCGTTTCAATTTACATCCGTTTTCTGTTACATAATTTATCTTATTTGATCTTTCATTGATCATCCTTCGATAACAAAGGTTTTTTTTATTTAAGGGATGCCTCTTATTAATTTATTCAACTTCTCTCCTACTCCATGAATAACGCAACGCTCTTTCACTTATAGCATTTGTCGCGTGCGTGCCTTCTCGTTGACATTATTTGCCCAATTCCAATAATTTAGCGAAAAAGTAAATTTTACATTACATGCATTTTACCGCGACATGGATTTTACAGCGACCTTCATTTTAAAGTGACATGCATTTTACCGCTACATGCATTTTACTGCGACCTTCATTTTACAGTGACGTGCATTTTACCGCTACATACATTTACAGCGACCTTTATTTTACAGTGACATGCATTTTACAGCGACCTTCATTGTACAGTGACGTGCATTTTACAGCGACCTTCATTTTACAGTGTCATGAATTTTACCGCTACATGTATTTTATCGCTACATGCATTTTATCGCTACATGCATTTTACAGCGACCTTCATTTTACAGTGACGTGCATTTTACAGTGACATGCATTATTACAGCGACCTCCATTTTACCGTGACATGCATTTTACAGCGACCTTCATTTTACAGCGACATGCATTTTACAGCGACCTTCATTTTACAGCGACATGCATTTTACAGCGGCATGCATTTTACAGCGACATGCATTTTACAGCGACATGCATTTTACAGCGACATGCATTTTACAGCGACATGCATTTTACAG